ACTATAGGACCCAGTATGTCCTTCTATTTACTCATAGCTGGTGGGAGGAAGAGAATTCATACCTTTCCCAAGGGCATTAGCATGTAAGTAAATGGATTAAATTAGAATTCGAACTTGGCTTTCTGATTCCTCAATCCAAGCCGCTATCCATTACTCCACCATGCCTCTGATTGGTGGAACATAATCCAAAGGAAGAATTCCTTTTCTCAATCCTCTTTTCTAAATCAAATTTTATTGCAGACATAGTGCCACCAAAATAGGCTACAAATTCAAAGCATATCAAGAAATGGCCATCAGAAAAATGTGCTGCTATTCAGCACTTGCTGTAACTTTTGTTGGAGTTTTCTTGATAGATTATTAAGATTAATAATCAAATCTAATAAAACAATTGCATATAGTTGATAGTTTAGACATTTCTAAATTAGGTGGATATCAAGCATTACATTTATGAGATTCTAGATCTGACCAAGTTATTTAAGAACATGATTCAAATTTGGAGATTAATATTTTGGTTTTAGTGCAGGTAGTGTAATGGCTATAGACTGTACAAGAAATTGATGAGTCAAGTTCATATTTTTACATTGATTTTTGCTCAAATATCCCTCAGAAAAGCATAAATCCATCTCTTCTCCACCTCAGATATAGGTTAAATAGCAGGGCAGACTGGAATCTATAGCATAGTTCGCAAACAGTTTAGGAGAAGGATGACTGAATTTAAAACCGTATGTGTCTCAGGTGAGACACATGAACTGTAACTGTTGTGGAGGTGGAAATGGGTAATCTGAAAGACAAGAACCGGTAATGTTTATCTGTTGCTGTTACTAAGGCAACAGGCAAAGAGAATGGCAAAATTAGACATTGCTGATGGCTGTTGTTGTTTCTCTCTCAGTCTGTTGACATTGACATGAAGGCTGGTTTGTGTTGTGTCTCTTAGCTTGCCAGTGTTGATGTCCAAGTTGGTCTGTGTTGGTTTTGTTTTAATTAGAGAATATATATTCATTGTTCAGATCCAAATTAAGATTTTGATTTTCAGAGTGGAGAGGGGTAATTTTGATTAAAGCAGATATGTGTAGAGCCTATGTGCAGAAAAAGTATTTACACAGTCTGCTTTTTTTGTCAAGCAGTCAACATCTGGTTTGTGTATAAAACTGTAAGATGCATGACAAGGCCCTCCTAGAAAATTGATCAGATATAAGCTGTATCAATTAATTAGTAATAAATATATATTTTAAAGTTTTTGGGAAATGTGACTTTTCTTGCTGCTCTGGTTTGAATTGTTGGTGTATTGTCAGATTGTGATGTATTATTAGATTTGTGTGTTTCTTACACATCAGGAGAATGTGTGTGTTGTTGTTTCTATTTTTCTAGGAAAGCTGGTTTTAGTCTGGCAATAGCAACAGTGTCTGACTTATTCCCTTTTTCTATTGTGAAATATTTGTCTGATCTGTGTAAAACTTTGTATGGACCCTGATAATTTGCTGAAAGTATTTTTTTTAACTGCATCTTCTCATACAAAAACATACTTGCAAGTATATAGATTTGTTGGTGTGTATATGTGTTTGGTTGAATTTCAAGTAGGTGTGAACTGTAATTGTGACATTTTATTTTTTAATTCTTGTATGATGTACAATGTTGGATTACCATGTATGTCATCTTCAAAAAATTGTCCTGGTAGAGACAAGAGTATACTGAAGACTATTTTGGCTGGTATGTAGCCAAGTTACTGAATTCTTGAAAAAGGGATGATCAGAATTGTGTGCCATGATCAGTGGTGATAACATTGGGTACTCCTAAAATAGATATCCAATCTTTTAAGATAGGGTTTGCGATGTGTCTTTGAGTGCAATCGCAGTAGGTAAATGTCAAAATCTGTCAACAATAATTAAGATATATGAATAAACTTGACAGCTTGATAGGCAACCAACGATGTCTACATGTATATGTTTGAATCTTGCATCTGGGTTAGTGAAAGTACCTATTGGTGTTTTGGTATGACATTGTATTTTATTCTTCTGGCATTCTAGGCATATTGATGTTCAATTTCTAATGTCTGATACCATGTTTGGCCAAACAAAATGTTCACTTATAATTTTTACAGTGGATTGTTTTGCTTGGGTGTGAAAGATTTTGAAGGTGTTGGAATATTTGTTTCCTCTGTGTGGGGTGATTATATATGATCTAGGATTGATTAATGTATTGTCACAATAAAGTGTTTTATTGCTTAAAGGAACTGGGAATTGCTTCAGCCTTAAAGAGGTATTTGATAATACTTCTGTTAGTGTGGAATCAGATTTCTGTTCATTATAAATTAAATCATGACTTAATATATCTGTGCACTAGCAGTAGAGTCCGGTGTTGCCCTGGGATGTAACAGTAAGAGATAGATCAAGTATCCACAATCATAAAGACTGAAAAATAAAATTGACAAAGATCATTGTTTAAGGTTGACGGACACGCATGTCTTAATTAGTTTTTTTTTTTTGTTTTGTTTTTTTTTACGAATTGGTCAAACTCAAACAAAAACATTGTTTTCAATCATTATGAGTCTATCGATTGAATAGAATTTTATTATAAACAATTGTCTTGTAAATGGAATTTTTAAAGCATTCTGAATGTAAAAATAAAGAAAAAAGTGTGCAAGACAATAAGAAACACTACCTGCCAAAAACAAGTGAAGTTTTGTTGAAATCGGTTGAAAAATGTAGGAAATCCAATCCCATATATAAACGAACACACGCAAACAAACAACCTGGGTTTTATAAGTATAACTCAATATGAGTTGTCCCCCTTTCATTCTGGCGACAGAATCATGTTTTATCTTGTTTTCAAATTGATTTCATGCAAAAACAATTGTGTTTTTCCAATTTTTGGCACTGTCAGAACCACCACAAGGTAATTTTACACAGTCATGTGAAGTTTTGTTGAAATCGATTTAAAAATTTAGGAAATCCGATCCAATATATAAACGTACAGACACACACACACACACAATCTGTGTTTTATAATAAGTAAGATGACAATGCATCAGCTGTAATATTTTGTTGTCCCTTAATAATAACAAATGTCTGTTGTGTACTGAGAAATAAAATCTAAATATCTAATTTCTCTAGGAGTGTTGGAAAAGGAAAAGATACTATAATTTGTTTGGATCTTGATTAATTTCACTGAGAAGAAATAAATAGGTTTCCATAATTTCCATTAATTTCCTGTTCAATTACAGCTCTTATTGCTGTGTTGGATGCATCCATAGTTAGGAAGATGCATGTGTTTTCATCATTGCTGATGTGTGAGAGTTTAGTGAAGTTTGCAAGGGCAGATTTGGCTGTATGGAGGGCATTCTTTTGTAGAATGATGTTTTTTTTCTCTAATAGATTGGTCAAGGGTAAAAGTATAGATGATAGATTAGGGATGAAACAACAATAATAATTTATCAGTCCGATGAACCTTCTTAGCTGTTGGATGTAAGTAGGTACATAAAAATTTTCAACTGCTTCCACTTTTTCAGGTAAGGGTGAAATCCCATTTTGGTCTACCATGTGTCCCAAAAATTTAACCTGAGTGGTGCCAAAAGTACACTTATCTAAATTTATTTTTAGTTCAAATTGTGTTTTCTCTGAAAGACTTGATGCAAGTGGTTTTTGGGTTCATCACTAGTTTTGCTTGCAATGATGATATCATCGATGTAAGCATATACAAATGATAATCCTCTCAAGACTTAGTTAATTAGTCTTTGAAATGATTCCTAAGATCAAATGGCATCTGGGCAAACCCGTATAGCCTGAATACAGTTGTCACCCACGTTTTTTGAATATCCTCTTCTGCTATCGGGATCTGGAAGTAAGCTTTCACAAGATCAATCTTCAAGAATATATGTGATCTGTGTAACCCGAGGGTGAAATCTTGTATATGCGGAATAGGATAATGATCAGGAAAAGTGGATGTGTTTAATTTACCACACAAGGTTAAAATTCTTTATTGCCTGGTGTTGGAATGAGGTGTAAGGGCGATACTTAAGTGCTTTCAAATGGGCAGATTATCCCTTCATGTAGCATTTTGTTGAATTCATTTTTGGTGAATTCATATTTGTGTGGATGCAGTTACTGTAGACATGAAAATACTGCTTGTCCAGTAGTCTTTATCTGATGTTTTGTGTCATGCTTGATGTTGTCAGTGTTTTTAAAGGGTGCCCTTTAAAATTTTAAAATCTTTATATTTGTCCAAAATATCAAGGAATTCTGTGCTATGGCAAGTTGTTGGACTGATGCCTGTAGATGTGTATTATGTATGAATTCCTGTAATGTGGATATTAGTTTCAGCTTATGAAATTAATCTGTGTTTCATATTCACCTACAAGTTGAAATGAGCTAAAAAATCTGCCTCATGTATAGGTGTTTGCATGTCGGCTTGTATGAATGTCCATGTAAAATCTCAGCACATGCCAATATTTAATGTCAAATATTTTGTGCTGAAGGTATGAATGCATATACCATTTGCAGCTAGTAGTCTGAGGAGGATTGAGTTTGGATCCATGTGCTCGTGGAATGACACTGACTTTTGCTCCAGTATCCACTAGGAATTTGTAGCTGTTATTTTTGTAAAGTACATAAAATAAACGACTTTCTTTGTACGCATCAGTTGGGGTAGTCGTGATCACTCATGGTGTCTGTTGGTATTATGATGACAGGGTTGGGTACATTTTCTTGTGTTGTTACTGAATGTGCAGTGATACCAGCAAATGCCACTGGGGTGTGTGTTCATTCTTTCATGGTTAAGATGTCTTCAATATGGAGTATGATCACATCTACATGAGGTACTTTTGTATCTCTGTTGTTATTGACTTAACAACAATTGCATTTGTTGCATTTGCTTTTGAAATCTGCAAGTGCTTTATCAATGTGTGTGTATTTAGTACTGAAATCATTTTCTTGTTTGGGAGTTAGTGCATTCAGGCTTTGGTTGAACAATACAAAAATTTTGTCTGTGATATCTGTTAGTTTGTCATGTGGTGCATTGTCTGTTATAGGTGTCACTATCTGTACCATAGTGGCTGGCATTTTATCCAACCAAGGGCAACAGAGGATGAACTTCAATATATTGTTCCCTCTGAGGTAAGTTTTCATGTGCCTGAGGAGTTTGCGAGGGTGTTTTGTCACTGATATCTATGTTGTTACAGAAATCTATATCTCAGTATTTGTTCATCTGAGTGACCTGTTCTTTTAATGATGGCTCTTTTAAGGATGCTGTAAGGGTCTTTGTTGGGAACATTTTTCAATAGGTCGATGATTTTGTTGACTATAACACTGGAAAATTTGTTTTCTTTGTGCTGGTGGCAATGTATGGTGGTAATTGAAGGACTGATGAATTTATCTCTAAAAGTGTTTCTAATGTGTCTTTGTGTGAACTCATTGTGTTGGTGTATTTACTAGAGTTTCCACATATTTTCTGATGTGGCTATTATTGCTTAAAACATCAGAGGTGGAAATAGGCAACCTGGAAGACAGACTAGTAACTTTAATCTTTTGCTGTTTGTAACAGGGAGAGAGAATGGCAAAATTAGCCATTGCTGATGGCTGTTGTTGTTGTTGTTTCTCTCTCAGTGCGTTGGTGTTGACATGAAGGCTGGTTTGTATTGTATCTCTCAGCTTGCTGGCGTTGATATCTGTTGGCCTGGGTTGAGTTTGTTTTAATTGGAAAATATATATCCATTGTTCAAATCCAAATTAAGATTTTGGTTTTTGGAGCAGGAGTGGCTCTGACTGGTCAATAAATTGTTCATTTTATTTTGATTAAAATGGATGTATGCATGGAGCTTATGTGCAGAAAATGTATTTATACTGTCTGCTTTGGGTCGTTGAGCAGTCAACGCCTGGATTTTGTATAAAATGTAAGAGGCACAACATAACTAAGGTCTGCTTGGTATAGTTGCAGTATGAACCATGGGTTGGCTCTGTGGGTGTTGAAAAATACAAATGGGCCAGATGGATGAACAGCTATACTGAAGATGATGAATCATACTGATTTGTGGTGTGTCTTCAAGTTGAAAAGCATTTGCGGTGTGCCTTCAATGAAAAGCATCTTGATGTGTTGGTCAAAACTACCTCTAACACAACCTATACTATGTTTAATTTCCTTATCTCCTATATGAAATTTGTTATAACTGATCCATGCACCAAAGTATTTGAAGAGTTTAAAGTTTATTAATTCCATGTTCTGAATTTTTATGATGGTGTCACCATTACTCTCATTCCAATTCCAGATTTGAGTTTCTGTTTTGAAAGGTTTATTTTAAGTCCTACTGTAGTGGATCTAGGAAGGTTGCATGAATGTTTGAAATGTTTTGCTGTAAATGAAACATCCACAAACATAAATTTAAGTAAAAGATCAAATGATAATTATATTCAATTACGACAAAAAAGAATATGTTTGGAACAACAAATAAATTTTTTTATATGCAGAATATTACAATTTTGTTTTGTAAAGATGTGTGTGAAAGGTTGATCAGATTATTTTAAAGAGAAAAGTTATTGTTGCTGGTTTGGAAATGTTTTGTATGTTTGTAATGTAGTTTGGAAAATTTTGTACGTATGTGCATGTGTGAATATGTTTCATGGCATCTGACTGCACATGGTCAAGATGCAAATCCTTTTTTACAATTACATTTTGTAGCGAGAGAAATCAAGGAAGAGAGAGAGAGCACGAACTCGTGTCTGGTATTTATAATTAATTTAATCATGTGTTAGGCTCCTGGAAAAAGAAGCGGGAAAACTTGGTCATGTGCTGGAAAAAAACTTGTATGTGGGTGGATTGCATCGCCCATTTGTGTGTTTATTGACCAATTAGAAGTTGAGATTTCCTGAAAATATGTATGAAGCTGGGTAAGCTTATCGCACCCGACCGGAAGTTACTGCCGGCTACTCAAACATCTGAAAGCATCACCTCTGAAAACAGCCCGAATGCCGTTAATTTCTGGTGACTCAGCGTTTTCAGAAATTGAAACTAAACACAAAAAAAGAAAAAGAAAGCGAAACATAAACATACACAACTAAAAATTATGACCAAAAACTAAATTACATACACATGGTGTCCAAATGAAACCCATGTGCACATCCAAAATGTGGAAGTCAATTTTTAGTCGACAATCAAAAGATATTGTTAACCAGGCAATGATGCTAACCGCGGTCGAAATAAACACAGCCGATTTCTTCCACCAAAGAAGACGGCTCCGGAGTAGAGCAACGCGCTCCCCCTCTCACCTTGCTGACCCTCATCACTGACCACTGAAGAAGCCAAACCTAGCAGCAGCTGCCGTGTCTCCACCAGTGAAGCCAGCCACTCCCAGTCTTGTTGCCGAATTCAGCAGCAGGCTAAGCCAACCTCAGCAGCAGCAGCCGAAGCTTATGCGATAGTCCTTTTAAGGACTCCCAAGCCACATTATATGTGATAGTCCTTTTAAGGGCTACTAAGCCACATTATATGCGATAGTCCTTTTAAGGGCTACTCAACCACATTCATATGCGATAGTCCTTCTAAGGACTACCAAACCACACTCGTATGCAACTGCCCTCTTAAGGACGAACAGGTTACCTCAACACTGCCATCTGTGATCGTCATTCTTTGTGAACGCCGGTGCAGTCCTCTTACGGGTGAACATCCGAGGATCAATCTGGACCTCAGATGCAGCATTTTCATCTGCTGAGCTGCTGCCCTGAACCAAAACAAACGATCTTTAGACTGGCACTCTCGAATTTCACGTCTGAACAACTCCAAATTTCCTGTACATACTTTTGCCAGATTATTAAATAAAATTTGGCTTAAATTTTAAAATCCTCGCCTTTGTTGTCCTTGCTTCAATTGTATTACACTATTTTATTTCTCTGCTTGCAGGGTTAACAGCACCTGCTTAACGCTGCAACAAGCCCTTTGTTCCACTTTTTGTACAGATTTGTACAAAATTCAACATTGATAAGAAAGTGGTATTGGGATGCTAAACTACCTCTTGCAACATTTATTATTTCTAATAATAACTGTTGTATATAGGTTTTACTAAAATTTGCATTTTACATGAATTGTACTTTATGAAAATTGACATCCAGAGTAAAATCATAGATTCAGAGAAGGTCCTATTGCAATAAAAATAGTTCATTATTAACTATTGTTTATAGATTTAGAAAATGTAATTTATAAAAACATTTTTCAAATTGTCTTCAGATTTTTATTAATTTATTGTTTTTAGTAATCTTTAATTAATTCGATTGAACTAAATGTTTCATAATTATTACATTGACTAATCACTTTTAAATTTACCTCTCCGCATGCGCATATGCTTTTTAGATTGTTTCTTTTACAAGCATATTTATTTCTTAGTGACTTTATATTCGCACTTTGGGACTACCCTTCATTGAAATGAATTCGAAAAGTAAAAAATGTTTCACTTAGATTTTAGAATAATACTAGTGCTTCAAATAATTTCGTCTTTTAAAATCAATTTGAGTGAGGTAAGAATCTTTTGAAACTGACACATCTTTTGATTTTATAAATTAATTTAAAATTGAAATGTGGAGCGGAGACATTTTTGTCAGTTTTATTTTCCACAAACAAATCAATTTTTCTTTCTTCAGCTTAATTTGCTAGTCACAATTGTGGCACAGCATCCAGTAAAGTTCTAACTACGTCTGCGACACTTGTTTTCTAACAATTATTATTCTTTGACAAAATGCTCAATAAAATTTACATTAAATAAGTTAAATCATCGTTTGGTACATTTTTTAATTTTTGTTTTACTGTGTTAAAAATAAATGTTAATTAATTGTTGTGGTTACGCCGTGCGTAATTGTTAGTTTTTTTTGGGGGGGTGGGGGGTATTTTACGCGCCTTTGTTTAAAAATTAAAGAAGTAGGTTATATTTGTAAAGTACTAGTTTCCATAATGTATCGAAGGTACCTTGTATATAATAATAATAATAATTATTATTGCAAGAAAAAAATTAGTCTATCATTTTTCACTATTTCAACAAAACGTTCCATATTTTTCCGAATAATACAAGAAGAGTTATAACCCTTTATCAGTAAAAAAAAAAAAAACCCAACAAAAACAAACTTCCGGTTGCCAAATTTTAGTAGTCTAACTCGTGTCTGCAAACAAGGTAACTGGCTTAACTCGCCCTGTTCTTTATTACGCTACTTAACTGAAATTCTGGTAAGTGTACAAAAAAAAAAAAAAAAAAATGTTTCCCATAAGAATATACCATATTTCTGTTATACAAGTAGCATTAAACTCGGTACCTTATCTTATCCCCTTTATTCTGAGAGGAAGTTAAACTTTAGCTGTTAGTGTTAATTAACGTTATTGTACTCTCGTTGATCATCATAGTGATGTGCTGTTTTAAATTCTGAAATTAAAAATGACGGTTTAGAACTTGGTGCTTATTTTTCATATGCCTGATTATTATTTTTAACGCTGAATTTGTGAATAATTTTTGTTATTAAAGCAATTTTCAAATTCCAAATGTATCTTGCTCGCTCTTCAACATTTTGCAAATGGCGCGTAATGGTAAAGTTTAAAAATGTATGTTTTTGAATTAAAAACCTTTTATGTACCATGTTATATCTTCGGTAAAAAAAAAAAAAGAAGAAAATTTTTCTGTTATTGAAATTAAGTATATTTCTATTCCACAGATAATTCGTGTAAATTTTACCCTGTAAAAGTTAACTGAAGAAGAATGTTTTCAGCAGACGACATGTTTACTCAAAAAAGTGAAATATCTCATTTCAACATAAGTTAAAAAAATGAGTAACAGTTTTAAAATCTCTCTGTATTTGCACTGAAACAATTACCTAAATTTTTGGTTAATTATTACTATTAACTAGATCAATGTGTTTTTTTTTTTTGTCATACTCAACTACAACTTCATTGCTAATGTTAATTTATTTCTCCTATTGAAAAATATCATTATTCATTAAAATTAAATATGTTTAATCCACGATATTGGTCAGTCTGTATATGTTGAATAATCTTCAATGAATCATTGCTGGATAGAAATAAAACCGGTGGAATAACACTAACACACTTGAAATAATAATCAGAAGTTTAAAAAAACGGTAGGCTGATATGAAGACAGGTTTTATTTTTATGTTTTTACGTTTTGGTAATTTATGCTGGATAATAAAAAGATTCTTCCTGTTGACTTTTAAAGTCTAATAAGGATTGATAATTTCAGGTTGCTTCCCTCCTCAAACCAGCTCATAAGATCAGAGGAATAACAATTGTAAAAATATTGCTGCGTTTATTTTCCATGAATAAAGCAGACTTTAAAATTCTTATTGTTGTTTAAAAATTGAATAGAAAGCTATTCAAACAAAGCTAACCCATTTGTAAATTACTTGTATGTTCATTACATCCATTGATGACAATTGGTTGCTACTAACTGCTTCTTAAGGACAGGCTCAAACTAAAATTATTTTATGCAGTATATGAAAGGAGAAAAACATTAAAATAATTTTTCAATCATTTCCCACCATAGCTTAAAATTTTTTTACTCCATTGAGAATTTTAATGCAACATTAGATGCCAAATTTTGATTTGAGAGAGGGCATAATAATAAATGATTTATAATTGCTTTTTTATTCTTAACAGTAATAGATTAGCTGAAAGGTGTTTGAAAGAAAGTCATGGTTGTCATTTGCTAAGTCAAATAGCTATTGTCTCATATACCCCTGCTTTCAAGTTGTCTCTTCCCTGCTCTCATAATGTAGCATAGCTGAGAATAAATGAAGTTGAAAAAAATCAATACAGGCTTTATGTATATTCAAAGAAATAAACTCTTAATAACAACCAACATTTGATAACAAGTGAAATATGTTTGTTGTCATTGTGAATGTATAGTGAGTTTCTATATGAAAAGTTAAAATTAGGCATGCAAGGATTGATATGTAAGTAGAATATTAGAGTTTGGGTTAAAATCTGACTTGCATTAAGTAAAACAGTTTTTACAATTATGTTTAACTTTTGTAAGGATGCACTTCTTTGTATGTAGTTGGAATAGTTGGACCATGTAGAACAGCCAATGTCATTTTCTCAGGATGTTTAGTGAGAAGCTGAAAAACATTTTTATATTTGAAGAAACAACTCTGAAATTCAGCAGGCTGATTTGTGGATGGTTAAAATATTTCATATTATAATCATGAATGTGCTCTAAGTTGGAGCACTTATAATTTTTTGAATTACTGCAGTCTAATTTTGAACATAAACAAATGTTTTATGGGAGTTTTCATGTGACAACAGATTTAGCCTAATATTATGATTTTCAAGAAAGAAGAGTTGACAGAACTTAAATTGACTTTAAATTGTTTAATGCCACAGACTGATTCAATACAAAGCATAGCTAACCCCGAGATGAAAGGGAATATTTGCAAAATAATATGTGGGTCATTCCATAACTAATCACCTAGGGTCATCCTCTCAGGTTTTGAAAAACGTTGTCAGTTTCACACTTTAAGAGTTCATCAGACAAGGTGTTACTCTTCTGGATTTTTAATGTTTTTGTATTAAAATTTGAAATGGAAATTCAATAAAACATTAGATTACTTAGAATATTTTCCTAAATTTTTAAGATTACTTGGTAGTTAAAAAATTATATACAAAAGGTGCTCACATTACATTTGTCAAGTAATTTTTACAGGTATGATCCCTGTAGAAAAAATAACATTTCCCAAGCATCAGGCTGTCAATAGAGCTGTCAATACCTCCTAAAAACATCCATCTATGTACACTATATTGTTTGGACTATTATCCTCATTATTGTTGCCATATTTATCACATTTCAGCTGTTGTACACTCCAGCCTTCAGGTGCTTGGAATATTGAACTGAATGTTGTGATAAATATGGCAACAAAGATGAGGATGATAGTCCGAACAATGTAAATAGTGTACATAATACCTCATCTCAGAAATATAGACAGATACCCATCTACGTGTTAAGAAATGCTTTTCTGCAATATTTTAAACTAAAAGTAAGTAATATTTGTTTTAAATCAGATTAATTAAACTTTAAATCAGCTAATCTTTCTCACATAATGTTTCAGAAAAGTATATATTATTTTTGAAAGTTTTTTTACAAAAAACAATGCAGAAGGAATTGTAAAATCAGCCATAAATCTCATTCCAATCAATTTAAATTTGTTTTGAAATAGAGCAAAATATTTTGCTTATTGGAAATATGAAATTTAATCTATTAGATTGAAATTAAAACTAAGATAAAAGCTTTAAGAATAATTTTTTCATTTTTAAAAATTAATTTTAAACCTTAGGTATTACATTTCCTTGGAGGTACTTATATACCTATATATTTAACAAAAAAGATATATACACTTGTAAATAAGTATACTTGTATATGTAGAGGTATGTATATGAGTTTATGTACAAATATTTGGGTATTTGTAATGCTATGTTGCTCTTTGTATGCATTTCTGATAGGCAACATTATTATGCTCTAGTCTTAGCCACCTCCTGGACAGTTTGTATTGCCATAGACATTTTTGTTTTTTTTTCTTCTTAAAACAAATTTTTCTTGATACAGATACAACAAAAGAAATACATGTAAACCAGTAAGCAAAAAAAAAAAAAAATCACCTACTCCCCCCCCAAAAAAACTTTCTTTCACCAATATTCATGATATTCATTCCAATTTCTGTAGTGTAGAATCTTTTTATGTATATATATATCTTTGTAAATAAGCAATAAGTACAGAACAAAAATAAAACTACTTTATAACAGAAGTTGAAATATAATCGTTTACAAGATTTAAAAGACAACAAATAAAAATTCTATAATGTAAGATTTTTTTTTTTACATATTGCAAGTACAAAATATCTACAAAAAAATAAAATGACTTTAAAAAAGAAGTTGAGATGAATTTCTTTAAAGGAAGTAGTAAATATACAGTAGAAAAAACAATAAAAATAAATAATCTATAATATGACTTTTTACATAAAAATGTAAATTCAACTGTAATCAGAGTCTGTAAAACTATACCGACTCCACTGACTTCACAACCCTGCCAATTAAACTAGATACTCCTTGGATAGTTTCATTGCAGAAATGGTTTTTGAAATGACTTCACACTGTTTCATATCTTTCTCTAAGATTGGTGATTGATATGTTTCCCATCTTTGACATTTTCCCATTTGAATGACTTCTCAAACTTCTTTTGATTCAAAATTTTTACTGCTTTGATTTTTTTTTCATCTATTTTCTTCTTGTCATTTGTTTTCTTAACTATTATGTTCAATAATCGATTTCATTGATATGTCAACTCGCTGTTCTTTTCTGTTTCACTGCATGATGATCTTAATGATATGATTTTCTTTTGCTCTTGTGACATTTTTTTCTAAATCCTCAACATAAGTTCTCTTGTTAGTGGAGTTTCCTGCAGTTTTAAAACCAATAATTTCTTTTGATTTTGTTATTGTATTGATTTCTTTTTTTTTGAATATTGTTATGCTGGATTCTTTCAGCTGATATCAAACTTTTCCTTCACTTTTTTTTTCATACTGCTCTTTAATCACTGGTTCCTGATGGTAGCATTGCTGAGCTGTGGCACTTTCTTGTTTCTCTGGACAAAGTATTGAGCAATCTCCATTTTAGTCAGAACTACTATTGATTTGTGCATCTGAATATAATCTGAGTATTGTGCAACATGATTTTCTGAGATGTTTGCTATAAGATGTAGTCAATTTATAAAATTTTGTTGTGTTGGTTTCCTTGTTTATCCTTGTTTGTTCCCATGTTACATGCCTTACTGGATGTTTGTCATCGACAAGCTGTGTATGTTACAAAAATTGACTAACAGGTAAAACTTACTAATTATCAATTGGCATTTTATCGAGGGACATTAATGGGAAGTATTAACATAAGATATGCCTCACACCTCGTTTTTACACAAAAATTTTATAATAAAAAAATCAGTAATTGTTGCAATAAGTACAAGATTTCAATGCTAAGTTGAATTTCTGTGCATTTTTAAAATTCTATTTCTATTGAGTTTTCATGGTTTATTTTTTTTTTAACTACTGAATATTTGATTAAAATAATTTCTGTATCAGAATTTTCTTTAATTTTCTTTTCGTTATGGCATAAGTTTTGTGAAAATTAAATTTTATATGCAATTTGAATGGAATGAGTGTCATTCTTGTAAAAGTTTGAAAATATTGTCAGGTTACTATATTTAAGCCATATGTTGAATCCTAACTTTTTTATATGCTTTAAATTAAGTTTTTATATACTTAGTTTTTTTTTCTTTGAACATTTTAAAACTTTTTAAAAATACTTGCTATACTTCTGTTATATTTTCCCTGTAGCCATGCCTGTCCATCAGGTGTCTGTTGTTTGTGGATTCTGCAAACTAGGAACTGTTGTAAATGACATCTGTGGTCCTTTACATAAAAGTCATCTGAAAAATGGTTCTGTTTGTGCTGCTCACCACCGTTGTATGGTAAGTTGAATTTTCCCTGTTTTATCATAAATTGAGCCAAACTGAAAAATGAGTGTGTGCCCCTCCCTTCTATATATGACATGAAATAAGTGATTTGTATTTCAACATATCACAAAAAATTATAAGATATTCTAAAATCTATTTCATTCTGACTCAATGACTTCCTATCTGCTTTCATCACTAAGTTATGTCTTTCTCTATATATTGTACTTTGTAATTCTGACTCATATTTTTTCTTATTGTTTACTAGTATTCTATTGTATCCTTACTATGGTCGACTTATTCATTTCTTATTGTTTGCATGCATATTCCAGTAAATGTAACTACCATTCTTAATATTCTGATGATATTGTTAGTAAACAATGAAATATTGCCCGATCCGCAGCTGATGTCCTAACTACCATTACGCACAGAATTAGTGAAACCCTTGATGACACACACACAGCGCAAGGGCCATAGCATCATATATCTTGAAGGCCTTTGACAAGGTGTGGCACAAAGGTTTGCTACACAAGCTCTCTAGCTATGGAATCACTGGAAGGGTTTTCTCTATTATAAAATCTTTCCTAACATTTAGATCCCTGAAGATAGTTATTAACAGCCAATTCTCCAAGACCCTGGTGGTCAACGCAGGCATCCCCCAGGGGTCACTCCTCAGAATAAACCATCTTTTTGATCTACATAAATGATCTGATCATTTGTAAACATATATGCTGGTGATATGACGATATATGGACACACACCTAAACCTTTTGACAATCAGATTTGGTAGCTGACCTCTCTTCTGATCTAACACTAACTTCACAGTGGGGAAAAAAACTGGCTAGTTACATTCAATGCTGATCAGACCTTGAACTACCACCAATCACAATGAACGGATGTCCCCTTGAGGAGTTCCTGTGCCTTGAGAGGATATTGGGCCTCAAACTTACGCCTGAAGATGCAGGTAAAATGATCAACTCCCTGTACCTCTCCAGTAAGTACCTGACTCCTCATGCTATCCTCTCCTTTTATGAGAGATCAAGGCTGAAAATGGAGTATTGTTGCCATGTTTGAGTGGGAGCTGCTCAGACCAGTCTTTCCAGTCTTGATAGAGTTCAAAAATGTATCCAAGTACTTGTTGAAGAAGAATTATCCCCCAACCTCTCTCTCACAGGTGGGATGTGGCAAGTCTCTTACTGCTCTATTGCTACTACCATGGAAAAAGTTTTATATGCATGCAATGATGTGAGTTTGTGGCATCTTCTCTGACAACAAAACTGAGATTGCTTAAAGTGTCAGCATGGCTTTCTAGGTATGTCAGTTTGGCTGGACTGGGGTAAATCTAATGAAAAACATAGTTTTCCAAGTTATTCTAAATTAGCCTTGTTCAAAACCTACCTCCAGGTTCTCATGTGCCCATTGATTGGATAACTTCTTACTACCACCTTTATTGTGAGTTCAGTTGGTTATGTCATCAAAGAGATATCCTTGGCCAATTAACACTATCTGGTCAAATTATAGTTTTCAGAACAATCATTTTTCTGGCTGCCCATGCAATTTCAACCTTTTGCCTATTTCTGTTTTCCCATGAATTACCTGACAATCTCATAGACAGGGAAAAATTAATGATTAACAAACATAATTTTGTCTTGAAAGAAATCTCTGCTCAGCTTTATACAACTCCATTTGGATTCTGTCTCATGGTCATTTTGTTTTTCCACTAGCCTACTAAAGAAGTTTTAGCTGCATCTTTATGATAATTCTGTTTTCTTTAGGCTGATATTTTTTCCGAGTTTCTAGCCTGGCTTTCTTGCCAGTGTTTTAACTTGCATTCAAATCTCACTTGCTAGTAAAATCCAAATTACCTTACTTTGCTATCTAGTTTTTCACATTAACATATCAAGTTAGTTCTCATTCCAACCAGGTGTAGATTAAGTTAATTGTAAGATCCATATCACTAACTCAGTTTTACACAATCTTCTGTCATCTTTCATGCAACTTTAAAATTTAATTCTCTCAATCATTTTATTTTTTTTGCAGCAAAGAACTGTTGTAAGTGTTTTTACAGTCTTATAGGGAATTGAAATTATTTTTGTCAAGAAAATTTTCAAGACTCGAATAAATTGTAATCTTAAGGTGTAGTATTTAGTTGAACCCAGTGGATGAAAATTTTCTACATATACTCTTAACAATTTTTGCTTAATCACCAAAGAAACATGCAGTTTAGTGTTATACTGATATTATACTTTTTCTTTACTAATTCTGGATGTTTTTGTTGATCTATAAAGTGGAAAGTTGATTTTAGTCTGTCTGACCAGCAGACAGTGAATTAATTATCGAAGGATGGACACGCATAAATGAGTTCATAAATAAAATGTGAATAAAATAAACTTTTTTTCTTGAATTTTTATTGACACTAAAAAAAACGTATTTAAAAAATTGAAAATTTATTTCTGACCTTCTGGAACAAACAATTAACTTCATAGTTGACAACACTTACTTCCATTCATCTGACAAAAAAATATAAACAAATATAAGTTTGTTGACTTTTTTTTTTGTTTAAATTATTGAAGGGTGGACACACATAAATGAATTCATAAATGAAATGTGAATAAAATTCCACATATATGCACATCATCCCCCAGTTATTCAATTGCCAATCCATCTAGAAAATAGACAGAAGATATACTTTAATCAAAGTAATGCCACAGATAGAATTGCAAATCCATGATCAACAACTCTGACGGCTTTCTTCACAGTGTTGAACTGATGATTTTGCAAGAACCCTTTTTTATGTTAATGTTCCCGAATATTACACATTGGACACTAAAAATAACTTCTTCAAAAGATGAGTACAGGGGAAACCAGTTCCAAGCTACCAAGGCATAAGAAAAGCTGAAGTTTTGGGCAGGTTTTACACAGTGCATCCAAATCAATTTGAATGCTTCTATTTGAAACTTCTTCTACATTGTGTTAGAGGACCATAGAGCTTTAATGACCTGAAAAGTATCAATGGGCCAAGTTCAGAACACTTTCAGGGATGTATGTATTGCCCATGGAGTTCTTGAGGATGATAACCACTGGAATGCTACATTACAGGAAGCATCTATATCGGAATTGCAAAGTAAACTGAGACATTTGTTTGCAATCATATTGACTACATGTACAGTGTCAGATCCAAAACGACTTTGGGATGCAAACAAAGAATCTTTAAGTGATGACTTTCTTTTTCATGAACACAACAAATATCCTGGAGTCAATATACAGTTTTCATATGTCATTTTCAATATGGCTCTGGTTGTTATCGAGGATATCACTTCTCATATTAATGGCAAATCTCTTACGAACTTGGGTCTTGATTCACCTGAGTGCTGAGAATAGGAGATGGCAAGATTCCTAAGGGTGACCATGACAATATTGTAATTCCTCCATGATTAGCATCAATTGTTTCTTTAATTGAAGAACTGAGGAACAAGGTGTACCCAAATATAGCAGAAAACTATGTGAATTATGAATGGCTAACTGAGAGAGCAATTCTAGCACCTAAATACAACTTGGTGCATGTTAGCAATCAGCAACTGCTCAATGAAATTTCAGGTGAGGAAAAAACTTTCTATTCTGTGGATTTAACTTTGGCTGTGCAATACACTACAGAATTTTTGCTGCCATGATATATAATATCAATTCTCAGTCTTTACCAAGTGTTACTTAACTTTAATTTTTATTTCTGTCAATACATTGGTGTTGAATCTCGATTGAGATGTCTTGCATTTATCATTTCCTGATCACTGACTGAACAGCTACCCTATAATGTTTTTTTTCCAGACTGGATGTGCACTATGCTGATGACTTTCCATTATTTCACACTTGCTCAGCATTCTTAGAATCCATTTGTGAAGAAGTGCAAAGAAACTGCCTCACATTTTCCAATATTCTGCTTGCAAATGCTATGGTGATATACTCCACCAAATAACATTGAAAAACTAATTCTGCCAAAAACACATTCACAAATTCACCTGGGCATCTTTTAACACTTTAACAATGAAAATTCTACTTGATGCAGTTCATTTCATCTTTCAAATATGTAGAGGTAAGAGACGAAAATATAAACAAAGCTTTGGTTATAATTGTATTTTGAGAGGAAATGCTGAAGCTGTAGGAACGCTAAATTTTAAATTTTAACTTACTGGCATATATTGTGTCTAAATATCAGCAAGACTTGCAGGAATTTAAATAAAAGAATTAGAAGAGATCTTTTACAAAATAAACATGGTCAATGCATTAGTTGTTCGTTATAATGTATCTGGCCTTAATTTCAATTTTAAAAAATGCAGTTTTAATTAAAAGAAAAAGTAATTTATTAAGAAAAAAATATATAAAAAGTGTACTGATTTCAGTCTTCCATGGTAAATGTATGTCCAGGTTCACACCACATTTCACCTCTCTTACTACTGCTATCACAATATGATATTAAAAAGATTAAAAAGAACAGCGATAAAAACAGCAAGTGGAATGAAGTTGGCTCAGCTGTATGTCTAGAGCAGGCCTGCACAAGATATGACACTACCAAGAGTGTCCTGTAAGGGTTTCTCAAATTAGATTTTTTTATGTTCTTGAGAATAAATTCAGCAATTGATCATGTATGAAAATTCAGTTTTGTGGAAATAGGACTTTATTCAAACAATATTTCACTGTCCTTGTATCTAATTAATTCTTTCAACTCTTTGTAGAAAAATATAACTGTTGCTCACTCTCTTTTATATATATATATATATATATATATATATATATATATATATATATATCCAAATATGTTAGCTCTATCTCTGATATTGAGCGCTTTCTAATAAGTACCGCGCATATAATATATAAATAATTATATATATATTATATAATACAATCAGAATTAATATACCATTATGTAAATGGTCATTTTCATCTTGTAAAATTAAATTTACAGGATTTTTCAAACAGTCAATGGATGATAAATTATTGAAATAAAAATGGCCAGAGAGGGGAAAGAAAGGAAGAAAAAAGGTGAAAAAGGAAGAATAATAGAAACGAATGGAAGGTAGCAAAGGAAACAGGAAGTAGTGTAAGTCTTGATATGAGTAGTGGTCAGAGGGGAAGGAAGAGAAAAAGAAGGAGAGAAGAGATGACCTACTTATCCAGTTGTAATCAGACAGTAGTTTAGACTTAAAAGAAACCTCCTGGAATTAATGAAAAAAACAAATTATATAAAATAAGAGATAAACCCAAAAATATGAAAGCGAGATAATTCAGAATTAAAGAGTATTAAAATAACCAATATATCAGAATAGAATATTAAGAGAAATATAAAAAAATTTAATATAATGGAGGGAATATAAATATCTTAGAATGAATACATCCAAATCAACATATTTCAAATTAAACTTATATTAATTAATACCCATCCACAAGGAAACAATATTTGAAATTTAATATATAATATAAAAAAAAAAACAAGAATAAATATATATGTGCATGTGTGTGTTTCTATCTTGCATAAAGAGAAAATCATATTTATTGATTACATCCAGATTAGAGTTGAATCAAATTCAAGTTTGCAACCCTTTTGAAACTTCCATGTCAGTGATGAAAATGAGTGATTAATGCATGCAGAGAGCTGGCATTTCCCCAGTCCTCCATTTAAAGATTTAGAGAATTTGACTTCATGAAAGCTTCAAAAAAATAACTATGACAAAGTCATCATCATTTGATCACAAAACTGAAAAAGCAGTCATCTTTTCCCATGCCACTCTGTTAGTTTCTGTTGCAAGTAGGTTAGGCAAGGTTATCAGCCCAGCACTTGATATTATCCAGCCAATTCTTTTGTTCATGGCTTTGCTTCACATGATAGCATATTGAATCGGCTCACTTCATCATCAAAATCTATTGAAAAATAAGAAAAATAGGATCTGAGTACCCTGGTTGGATAAATAAATATGTTTTTAATTCTTTCCAATAACAAAATAAACTGCCTTGTGGGCTGTGAGACAGTATCTGTTCCCAAAGAATTCAATGGGAAGTGTCACTTGGAAACCAAATATAAGATTTACACAATACTGAAGCCATTTGGTAAAAAAAACTCCACATGGAACAAAGATTTTTCAAAGTAGTCAATACAGAAAATTAGAATAAGTTCTGAAGTTTCCAGGGAAATTGCTGTTGCAATGAGAGGCTTCACTAATTGCCATATCAGGATTATAAGAGATATTCTGAAATGTTAGTCCTTTATAAATAAATAAGATAAGACTTGCTGATATTTCTGAAAACTTGACAGCAAATAAAGTTGAAGGAGAGAAAATTGTACTTTTATTCACTAGCAATGGATGAAAGCTCAGACTGTCAAGATACAGCTCAGCTTCAACTTTTTATTTGAGGGGTGTAAAAAACTTTTTGAGATTTGTGAAGAACTTGTTGGCATGCAGTCTTTAGTTGTGTAACTTGACAGAATATTTTTAATGAAATGTCTTAACATAAAATTGGAAAATGATTTCATAAATTTAGTGTCTGTATACACTGATGGGGCTCCTACTATATGTGGAAAAATATTGGGGCTGTTTCTCTTCTACAAGAATTTATTGGAAGAAAGATATTCACCCATCACTATATGAGCTAGTTTTGTGTGATGTTATATCTTTTGTAGATTGCATTGTAAATCACTTTCATTATACAGAGCTTAAACATAGACTATTCAAAACTTTCCTTGAAGTGGTTGGTTCTGAATACAGAAATAAGATGGTTAAGTTGAGGAAGGGTGAAAGAGGAAATATCTTGATTTGTAGAAAATGGACTGAGAAAGTTTGAAAATGAATATATATATGATTTCTTCTTCATTTGTGTTATTAGAAAAACATCTGACTGATTTTAAGGGAAAAATAATCTGATTTTGCAACTAGTAGCCATAGTAAACTGAAACTGTTTAGAAGCCAACTGACGAAAGGTGAAATGTGTTACTTTTCTACTTGTGTGCAGCATATTCCTAAAAGCACACATGGAAAGTTAGGAGCAAATAAGCTAAACAAATTGTAATTCTTCTCTCAGAATTTGACAGAAGAATTACTTCTTCCAAAGAAGACATGCAAATTGAAACTGATTGATTGGAGCTGGGTTTTTTTTTTTTTAAACAAAGCATAGAGAAAGCAACCTTTTACAGAAGTCTGGACAGGAAGAAATATCAAAACATCATCTATCTTGCAATGAAAATGGTCAGCATTTTTGGAGGCATCTACATTTGTGAACATAAATAAGAGCAAGTAACATTCTTTAACTAACATACATTTAGAAGATATTTTGAAAATATCTACTACCAATTTATCTCTGGAATATGAGCATGTAACTGAGAAAAGTTGCCTCATTTTTATAAGAATCAAAAGTGACTCAATTTTTTCATGTGCATGCGTATTTAGTTGTTTTATTAAAGGAAAATGAAACTTGTGCTATTTTAGCTCTGAATATTTTTAGGTATGTCTATGCTTCTCTATAATTCTCTTTGTTAAAATAAAAATGAGCATACACAATTTCTAAGTTGTTTTTTAACACATCTCAAAGAACAAAACACTTGTCAGAAACAAGTTTTTAACACAAGAATGGGTGATTCTCTTGATCTTAACCATTAGCATCCATTCCTTATGTTTCTTTCAAGGGTTCACATAATTGTTCACTCAATATAATAAATAATGGCTAAGTAAGCACCTACCTATTTTTGGTAAGGCCAAGGTATTTTTTAGATATTCTAGCATTTAAAATTTTTTAATATGTGTTAGAATTCTATGCAATGAAAAAATCAAAATCAGTATCATGTTTTTACAGCTTGTGTAATCTGGTGATAGGTCAGGTGATGTTGCTGAATGAATCTATAATCTAAATTTCTTCATGAAACCTAAAAATTATATGGTGTGGGATTATGTGACCTGTAAAAAAAAAAATTATGTCCTAACAATGTTGAAATTTCAGCAATATTAAATGCTGGAATTTCTAAAAAAAATATCATATAACCAGGGTGAAAGCTAAGGAAATTTGGCAAAGTATCAAAAACTAAATCTTAAAACAAAAAAGTTGACACCTGCTCAGCCATTACTCAAAATGATGCATAATCTTTACTTTTGATTAAGTGTGTCATAAATGTGTCACATACTCCTGATGTGATACATTTGCACCTTTTTATATTTTTTTTTTTTTTCACTTGGTAATTTAGTCTAAAAACTTACTCTTGCAGCTCATGGCTAATTTTCTGTGAGCAATGTAGCCCTTTGTATTTTTGATTGTGCAAGCTTTGGTCTAGACACATTAGATGCCAGTAGTTTAAAATTTAAAGTTTAGTGTCCCTACATCTTCAGCATATCCAATCTATATTTATAACTAAATTTTCAATCCTTACCCTATATAATATATATATATATATATATATATATATTCCATTAAGAAGAACATTATTTTAATCTAATGAAGTCTTTTTGAAAGACAAAACAT